AAACTGGTTGTTTTGAAGAAGAAAAAATGGAATTATTGTTTGCCTGAAGCAATACCAAACCTGGGTCTAGTTACAAATTTGCCTTGCATGCTTCTGTTCCCCGTTGTCATTGCTTGAAATAGTGTAACGGTTGTGTATTTCTCCTCAGTGTCACCTCGTATCCTGTTTCCTTTCTGTTTGAATCACGCAGCGCACTGTGTTTACGGACCGCTGTTATATTTTAATCATTTTGGACACAAATGCCATTATTTTAGTATAGTTCTTGATTTCTATCAGTATACTGCGCTCGCTGTCCCTTGCTTACCATGACGTACAATGTCCTTCTCTTGTTCAAGTTCTTGTGGTCATAATAGGTCCGTGTTTGTTTGTTTCATGGCATGCTATATTCTGTTGCTGTTAGTCCTTTGGTTGAGTACAGTGTAAAATTTGATGGTGTTTGGATTCTGTTGATTCTTTGCATGTATGAGTAGCATGTGGCAATGTAGATCTGCACAACACAGCAGTGGGGCATACACAACTTACTTGTGTGCAGCGTCGCTTTGTCTCTGTGCTGTCATCAAGCCCATTATAACTCCTGGGGGGGGGGGGGGGGGGAGGGTCCCGGAACCCAGGGGAAATTAAGGCAAAAATCAAAATTTCACCAGTTGTAGTCTTCGGGGTGCTGAGTCGAATGGTCGTGGTCCGAGGAAGCTGAGACGCTCCCTTCCTACTTGAATCCCAATCGAACTCGCGCACTTCCACCGAAACTGGGTGACTGCGCCCTACTGGATGGGGATTTGTATGCAAAATGTCACTAAAAGCGCCATTTCGTTCTTATAAAAGCACGGATGACCGCCATTGGCCCATATGTTGTAGTCTTTTGGACGCTGAGTCGACTGGTTTTGGTCCGAAAAGGCTGCGATGCAGCGTTCCTCCTTTATTCCCAATCGAACATGGTTGAACAAGCGGTCACGTGGTCCTGCGTGCCCAAGTCACTGGCCTGGTCACAGCGCCAGCAGCAGGCGACAACTTTCATACCAAGGTTCAACTCGAGTTCAACTCGAGTGACAGGACTGCACCCAATAAAGGTCAAACAGGCTAGCCTAGTAAGTAACCCTGCAGGCACGGTGACCAGGTGACTGGTGTACGCAGGAGCACGTGACCGCTTGTTCAACCATGTTCGATTGGGAATAAGGGCCGAACGCTGCATCGCAGCCTTTTCGGACTAAAACCAGTCCACTCAGCGGCCAAAAGATTACACCATACCATATGGGCCAATCGCGGTCATCCGTGCTTTTATAAGAACGAAATGGCGCTTTTAGTGACATTTTGCATACAAATCCCCATCTAGTAGGGCGCAGTCACCCAGTTTCGGTGGAAGTGCGCGAGTTCGATTGGGATTCAAGTAGGAAGGGAGCGTCTCAGCTTCCTCGGACCACGACCATTCGACTCAGCACCCCGAAGACTACAACTGGTAAAATTTAATCTTTGCCTTAACTTCCCCTTTAGTGTACCACCAACCATGCACCGACCAGGCGCCAGGCGCGAACTGATGGTGGTGGTGGTGAGAATGAGAGCTCTGTGCTAGAACTTTGCAGCCTAGAGAGCGTGTGTGGGCAGGCGTGTGTTTACTGCCATATTGCCGGGTGTGTCTTTACCACCATATTTATCAACTATAGTTATAGTGGCCAGACTGCTTCAAGCTACACTGCCTTCGGCATACTACAGTGTAGTAGTAGGCGAAGGAATGGTCAATCCTAAATCCCACCATTACTCGACCGTTGGGGTCGGAGTGACTGTAAAACAAGTCAAGGGAGATGTACATGTACTTCCAAGTATAATTATTATGTAGGTCTACATGACTGTAGTACATACATGTACATTGTCATTGGGTAGAGGCCATGCCGATGAAGAACAAGCCACCGATCGTCGAACAAGTGAATAACCATAGAACGGACGGTGCGGGTGACAGCTGTCTTTGTCATCATCGCCTTTCTACTTTCTAGCTAGCTAGCATCAGCCATCGTAGTTCATAATATGAACTACGATGGCTGATATTATCTCATCATGTATTGCACTGAGAAACATGAAATTCAACGCCTGGGTCAAATCCTTCCCTCATCGCCAGTACAGTGGTGGGAGACTGCACACGGCTAGCTCCACTAGAAGACTACTAGTTATGGCGTCGCTTTCGACGTCGATCATATCGGTGTTCGTTTCCATGAGAAAGCGTGCGTTCTTATCTGCTCCATGCCGCCTACATTTACAAGCAAGCCATGTGCCAGTGCGTGTACCATGGTGTACGTGTGCATTGAAATACATTGTGTAATGGACTTTGTAGTTTATCACGCGTGCACGACTGGTACAGCAACCGGTGCGTAATTCAATTTCCTGGTGCGGTGTTGGACCAGTCTTACAGAAGGTCATGCTGGGGGTGAACAGATCTTTCCCAATCGTTCAATACGACAATGGTGCAGTGTTCAGCCGCCAAATGATACTATCCATCACGGCCGAGACTACAAGGGATGATAGTGTGGCACTGTGGCGGTTGTAATACTCTAAGCAGTGCCGATCACGGGCCTCCATCACTACGAGCAGTAGATCTACGAGTCGAGTATGTCTGCGTACGTGTGGCGACAGGGAGAGAGTGACACGTGGACTGATCGACTTGTGGTGTCTGTGAAGTCAATAACATCGTTTGCTTATCCGTATTATACTTCATGGGCGCCCTGTCCTTGCTTGTCGACTTCAACCCGAAACAGTATGCCTACCATCTTCTGTTGAATACATACATGTACATGAACGTTTTCTCAACGATCGTCGACGCTCGCATCATTATAAGGCGACGACCGTTTTGGTTCGTCACCGCTCGCGTACTAGTATTCTGTCTGGAAGAGAAATGGCGCCCATGGTCCGAGTCCAAACCATGCTGTTGATGCTGTTTGGTCAAACTTGAAGTCTTAAACTGCACCTCCCGGTCTGTAAAAACTAAAAACTGTCCGAGCAAACTGCCCAATGTTTGATGCCGCCTTTAGTGCTAAACATGCAGCCACAGTAAAGTGTGAAGTCGAGCTGACCATATCTACCTTGTCATCACTGACTAATTCTCAGTTTTAGAACAAAGAAAGTCAAGTTCGTGAACATGTGGAGCCAGCCGTTTCCTAGGTAGGATTTGAGAAGGAGCTGAACCAATCATCAGACATCGTTGCCCAAGGTTTTCATACAATCAAGAGTCCCCTAGCTAGCTAGGCCGCAGTGAACATCCATAATCACCTTTCATGTATACCAGTAGTAGTAGTAGTAGTAGTAGTAGTAGTAGTAGTAGTAGTAGTAGTAGTAGTAGTAGTAGTAGTAGTAGTAGTAGTAGTAGTAGTAGTAGTAGTAGTAGTAGTAGTAGTAGTAGTAGTAGTAGTAGTAGTAGTAGTAGTAGTAGTAGTAGTAGTAGTCACAAAGGCACACAATGAAAACCTTGGGCAACGATGTCTGATGATTGGTTCAGCCATGAAACTCCGAGTCACAACGGAATTTGCCCAAGGTTTTCATTGTGTGCCTTTGTGTACGCCGCTCTGCCTGAATCAGGTATTGAGCACTTTCGCAGAACCTGAGCCTACTGCCTCTGTGCTAGTACTAGTAGTAGTAGTCCTCACCCGAGGAAACCGTCACGGTGTAAGGTCTGTGGGACTACCACTGTGAAAACTTTGAATAAAAAAATCAATGTACATGTACTCGCGCCATGACTCAAGCTTGCTGCAGCTGCTTATACATTGTATGAAGAGTGTGTATGGTAGGCCAAAAGGGGACTCTTGATTGTATAATTAATCATACAGTATCTTGGGGAAATTGCTGTCTGATGATCGGTTAAAACCGTGAAGGCCTAGAGTTATAGCAGAAACAATTTTTGATTTCTTCTTACAAGTGAATGTACATGTACATGACATTGTGATGTACAGTAAAACCTGTCAAGGCGACCACTCGGATAAGGCTACCACCTGTCCCAGAAGACCACTGAAACCAGGACCAAGGGATGCTATTTCCAGTCAAATGACCCTGGATAAGGAGACCACCTGGAAACGGAGACCACATTTTGAAGGTCCCTTGAGTGGTCGTCTTAGACAGGTTTCACTGCACACGACAACCATTGTGATGTACTTCAACATGTATTTTGAATGACAGAGCCTTGATCGAGTGCATGTATCGGTACAAGTCACGGAGATAGAACGTCATGTTCCTTAGTATTCGTAATCCCTACTTCTTCCACCGTGCAAACCGCTTCTGAGTGTTCACGCATTCTGCTATTCTACTTTGTCATGGTTATCATCGGGGCACAGGCAATGCGGTTCGCTTTGCATCCTGTTTTCATGTCACGGCTTGCACAGTTCCGTAAAGCAGCGTCATCTAAGGCAGTGTGGTTTCGTTGAGGATCTCAACAACGACGTCCAATCTACATCCAATCTAGATTAGATGTAGTTGAGACCTCCAACGAAACCACATCTCGTTTTCCATTTGTGTCGAGTTCAGTACCGTTTCTTCTTATCTCACAACAACCTGGATAGGCTTCTTTGTTTGTGTTGGGTTCCACCCAAGTGGCTTGAGTGACCCAGTACGTGGTCATCCATAAAAGAGAAAGAAAGAAAAACCACATCTCAGTGTCACCGTGTCGTGTTGGTGCACTGTACGTATACACGTACCCGCATGTGCAATTGATTGCACGCCACGCTCTAATGGTGTGTCAGCATATCATGTTCTCACCACTGACTGTTCCCTGCCTTGTGGTTTTCAAGCAAAGCGTCCAATGGATTATTATGGAGGGCTCAGCGCGAGGCCAGGCCTACAAGGTAGATAAACGTCGATAAGGGCGATAGCGACATTGAAAGCACTAACGCTGCAAGCTGAGTTCTTTGTCCTGGAACCCTGGCGCTGATGCTGCTAGCCTGCTAGGGCGGGAGCTGAGTTCTCAAGTTGATGTACATGTTGAAGTAGCGCTTCTGCCGTTTCACTTGAAGAATGCTCGTAGTGAGCACTTTGTACATCTTCTCCACTTGTTGGTGCTATCCTATGGCCAATTTACATTCCTGCATGGAACAATCCTTTCCCAACGTCACATACATGTACATGTACATGTATGTTGATCTTTTGGAATTTGGTCTTGACTTCAAACTCTAAACGGCCAGTTGTTGCACATATTTTTTGTCAGTGCACATGAGTTTTGCGCAGCAAGCAGCATAGCAACCTGTATTCTCTGCTTACTAGTATTTGGCGGTACAGGATACACTGGCTCCACAACGGTGTTGACAGATGGACAAACCTCATTTAATTTTCGTACAACACTTGATGATACTAATTATACTGCATGAGCTATGCGTGTTGTTCATACGTCTGAGGGACCGAAAAAGGAACATGACGAATGCTTCATTATTGTTAGTTTTTGGCAAAGCTGGTTTCATGAAGAATAGCCCGCGGGCTTTTACTACTATGCGGGCATGATTAGCCAGGGAGGAAATCGATCATACTTGTCACACTCTCACAACTGTCGCTCGTTAAGTTATACTTCTGAAGTAAGCATAAATCCAACTGTAGCGTTGTCAAACGCGTGTGTTATGTGGTCGAGTATGTGGTATTAGAAGCAACCAGAGACTCTGAAGGTCACATAAGATGCACCTCGTGTGCTGCAAGAGCTTGAGTTCCCCGGCCGGAGATCAGGAGATTGAAAGAGCCCAGCGCTGCAGGACAACGGACTAGATGAAACAGTACTTTGTTAGTAGAAAGCCTCTGTTAGGGGCAAAATAAACACAACAAAATGGAAACAGTACTTTGTTGATTTCGCGATGCGCATGAATTCCTTTTTCTCTTCTTCTTTCAAATCCAGCATCATGTTTCCGGTGTCCTTTTCTTTCTTTGCATCATCATTTTAATACTTGTATGTATGTGGTCAATAAAAACACGCGTCCAACCAATACCACTATGCCATGTTATGATCTACATTCATGTCATTGTCCATCTACATGTACATGTACCCAATGCTGTAGATAGCAAGCTGTTTCGGCCATACATGTAAATTGGAAGTTAACTCCCATTGTTTTCACCCACGCTGCGTGTATGTTCCCTACCATGGCCATCATAGGCAAGCAATGTGTCTCAAGACAAGATTTGGTCGAATCTCCCAAACTACTTCAAAGCGGATCCTGAAGCTTTCAGCTTTCTTCGCACCCCGTGGAGCTTTTGTTGCAGTCATTTCAACCTTGTTGTATCACTGGAGTTGCTCATTTCACCTGATCTGTAGTTGTGCTGACACTGTCTGTACAGTCATGGAGATGTACCCTTGGGAGTCCTTTTCGTGTCCAATCTCCTCGGAGCGAATTCAATTACTAGTACATATCCAGCTTCCCAGTGGCGTGGGCCTTTGGCTCCAGAGGCCCATTCGCCAGTGTACCGGCTCTGCGAAAACATTGCCCCTACAATGTAGCGCTACTACTGATATTAGTTACTAGTTAGGACTAACTAGATCAGTGAGCGGATCAGTATGCAGATATGCAGGTATGCATGCAAGGCAGGGCACCGAGCCTGGCATAATGATAGTAATACAATAGAGTAATAGAGTTCTGGTCGAAGGCTGCTACCATGACCACGTGCCCAGTCTAGAGCTACACCGGAGGCAACTGAAATCCGACCCCCTGGCCCCTGAGCACATTCTAGCGGTCTCTAGTTCGTAGTTTTGCAATCCCGCGTTGGGTCTTTGCGATGTGAGCGCAGTGCTCAGAGGGTCGGATTTCAGTTGCCAGCACTGTACATGATGGAGATGAATGAACACATTCCAAGCTGATGCCACGGGATTGTGCAGTACATCATGTAGTTCTAGTGGATCTACTTGCCTGAGGGGCTGTTTCCCAATAGGTATTTGTTTTTTTGGGTTGATAAGTAAATTGACCAACATTACCTGAACGGGATACAGATATAGCCGTGTGGCACCAACCAACAAGAGGTGTCCACACCGCACAGTTCATATTTCACTGTGGTACAACTCCGTTTTTTCTTAAAAGGTTCGTGTTTCGCCCCGGTCTGAACTGGAATATGTGTAGTGAGGTGCATGTATAAAGTAAGATCAACAGCTTTACAGGAACAGCAATAATACGTGTAATCATTGATCACTGCCACGAAGACCTTGTCAGAAGCTCCTCTCCGTTGTCTCTTGGTTTATAGCCTGGAGGCTACACGAACCTTTAGCGTTCCAGAGACCCAGCATTTCTCTTTGCCGCTCTGGTCAAGGCCATTCTTCCTCGTGACAACGGGGAGCATTTAGATACCGGAAGGAACCATGAGCAACAGTCACACGCACTAGTGGTAGAGTGATGGGAATCAGTGATGGCAGCCTATCACTATCAGTGGTGTCCTGAAATGGAACTTTTCTCTTTGCTGCTGTCATCGCCTGTCAACATGCTATAGGCCCTGCGAAGTTGTAGTTGCGCCTGGTCACGTCCATATTTGCCTCGCGCCGACGCACAATACGTGTGGCGAGCTCAGTATCTCACGGTCAGTACGCTGACGATGTCCAGCTCGTTTGCTGACCCTCTAAATAATGGGAGCTGCTTTTAAAAATTGCTGCATGCATGCCCTGAATTGTCACCACTTGAATCAAGTGGCACAGCTTAGCAAATTCTTGAGGGTCTCTATTGCATCACACTGTCCCAGTGCATACCATTGGCAGGCCTGGGACAGAGGCCCGGACATGGACGCAGTCACCTGCCAAGCCGGCCATGCACGATATAGACCAGGAGAGCTGCATGCTGCTGGCATCATAAGCCTCGTGATACACCACTGGCACTGCGAGCTGCTCTTGCAGGTGTTGCTCAATGATACTTATTATCAGAGTGTCCATTTGTATGTGGATCATTGTGTTTGGTTTACATTTACATTAATTTTTTGTTATTCGTCACAGAGCAGCATTGCAGAGCCAGGGGTGCTGGCGAAGGCTCTGTGGCCGTGTGTGCTGCCAGCGAACGAAATCTAGGTCAATGGGCCAACTCATCCTTAATAATCTTCTGGCGACTGTCCTGTCAGTGCATGGGATATGGAAGACCAGGGCAAGATGAAGACGTGTTCGAGGACACAGAAGAGGATATCCACGTACGCGTACATACGTACATGTACATGTAGACCCACCGATTCCCAATGTCTCACCAATCATGTACAGAGAGTCAGCACATACAGTAATCAGTAGTCAGTGGAGTCCTCAGTAACAGAGCATTGCACATGGCTTGCGAACTTCGTGTTCAGATTCATGCAACATTACAGGCAAACTGAAATAACGTATGCCAAACATATGCCGGTACTAGTACGTCGTAAGGGCAATGTCTGGATGCAGGATCTAGGATATTGCAGCAGGAGAGGGGCTAGGGTCTCATGATTGCAACCATATCTCTCACCCAACGTCAAGCAGTGCTGTGTAATCACCATGACTGCTGCTACTAGTACTAGACTGCCAAACCATGTCCATGAGAATCATTCATTGGTATGTGCCAGTGCAGCCAGGACTACCCACTGTGACATAGTGACCAGTGGTGATATGCTGGACGTTGTTTGCAAGATGTATGGTCTTGGCAGCTAATGTTTGTGCCAAGCTCCATATTTAGGTCAGTTCGCTCCAGACATTGGCCGGAGCGGTCGGAGGCTGACACGGTCAGCGTGTATGCGTCGGAATCGATCGATCGTGGCTGTGACTGTGAAGACAGGCACCCCATTTTTTAAGCAGCATCACGCTGCACTGGGTATAGCCAATGCTCGCCGAATATGGGCATACGTTCGCAATATGCACACGCGCTAAAATGATTATGAACAGAATAATCACTCCATTACAGATAGCACCGGGCAGGTCATTGCATAATTTACCATGCATAATGCAACGCGCTTCTGACCTCTCGATTCTTCCAAAGCGGCCACTTTTCGCATAAGCATTACGTCAGTACACTACCTGCATTGCTGCTTCACTTTCTTTGCCCTTTTTCTTCCTCTGTCTGGTTGTAGGGATTGTGCCATGATTCTAAAAAAATAAGCACATGGGCTTTTGTGCGCGGAAGTATTTGTGTTGCACTGAAGTGTATGGTGAGAGGGAACATGATGGTTCACCTATATAGTCATTAATGGGGCCCAGAGGAGTCAAGCGTGTTTTGACAGGGGGAGCCAGGTCCGATAAGTTTGCATGTACATTGTCCACGCAGAGATACTGCCTACAAAGTTCTGCTGTACCTACTGTTATCGGGTATAGTAGGTACCAGGGTAGCAGGGGGGGAGTTGGACCCAAACCAGGGTACGAGTCCCTAGCCTGGCGCATGGCCATGGCCTGGTGTTCAGTGTTCAGCTGCAAAACTAACTAACCTGTGTTACTTTGATCGTCAGTGCTATGCACCTCGACCCCAGTCTCGACTATTTGCCCTGCATGCACTCTACATTACTACTAGTAGTGACGTGAGGTACTAATACAAGTAATAGCCGTACAAGTGCCAGGCTGTATTGCTGGTGCTACATGTATCGCTGTAGGCCACTCGGTTCGCCAATTCGTGCAGCGTGACAAGCGTAGTCTACGCAAGCTAGGGCTAGGGCCAGCAGTAGGGGGAGACAGGAAAGAGCGTGAAGAGGTGGCACCGATAGGCAGCCAGCTACTGAGCTAGACCCCAGCTAGGCGAGCAGAGAGTGAGAGAGACGGAGGCTGCTGCTCACAATACCGAAGCCTGTAGCATCATCCTCATCATAACACAGTCAACAGTGGTGCGGTGCAGTCTTCAAAATCGGTGAAGGGGAACAGTGTGTGCCAGTATTCGGTTGGAAGCGGCCTCCGAGAAAGCCCTCCCCAGCTTTTTACCCTCCAGGGGTGTACTAGCTAGCTTTCAGACAGAGCCGTGACACAGATCCAAGATGATGGAGTTTAGAGGACTACTGGTCCTATTGCTCGTGTCCGCCATTGGACCCAGGAGAGGTGATGCGTTCCTGGACGTGCTGCTCAAGGACGACATGGTCCAGCTGTTTCTCGGTGAGTGACTGAGGACGTGCAATTCGATCACTCGCCACGATTTGCTTCCTTTCTCATTGGGGACACTGTTGGCATTGTATGATACATGCTATGTGTATGTGTGTATAGGAATGCTTAGTCAAGAGCCTCTGAAGAATGCATGCATGCAACGCACAGGCCTTAATCGCATTGCCTTCATCTTTCGCGAATATAATGCGTATTTATTTAGGGCTGGGCATGTTGGGGGAGGGCTTACAGAAGTGCTTGAAGATATCCTTATGGCGTAGCCGATTAGTTGGCACTGTTTCGTGTTTTCTTTCAACACAAAGTTAGCATTTGAAACAAGTAGATATGTTGTTATGAACGAGTCCAATCTTGAGCTTGAAAGGAGGCTCATGCATTCTGTGGCGTTTATCGAAAGTCAGGTACAAAGAACGCTGATTATGAAATAGTGGATTAGTTCACATAGCAGAAGATCTGTGCTGTGGAAAAGAAATCAGTACGTGTACTGACTGTAGTAGAACTCCTGGAGGAAGCCTGTGCTCCGTGACCGTGCGTTGTGGTGCCGTGGAGTACTACAGCGAGGTCAGATACAATAGGAGAGAGTCTAGGTCCTCGTGTACAACAGTGTACCATCGGCACTGCGACGGCTATCCAACCCTCGTCTTTGCGTCCAAACGCCGACAAGTTTGTCGGTTGTTGCATGTTGAGCATGAGCGCGACTGATACGCTAGTAGCGCTAATAGTTAGAGCACACGATCACGAGTAACGGGAAGTCTCCACACCGGCTCGTGTCACTCAGTCAGTTTGATCCTGTGAAGGGTGATTATATGAGAATAGCTGTCTTCAGGCAGCGTCTTCACAGAGCTCTGCAGCCTTTAGGGGACATCGCTACAGCCACAAAATGCATTAAAGGCCGTGCCCACCATTTCGCCTTGTTCGGCCAACTAGTAGTACGATTTCCCAGCCTGTTCCGTTCAACTAACGGCTTGCCCAGGAGCACCCGTAGGACGATGTCAGGACAACACTTCGCGGGCGAAGACCGCGCGGTCGGGGAGGAAGCAGCAGTGTTCAAGGCCAGTTGGAAAGGGTGTTCAACGTACTGCTGCCCTACCAATAGTAACAATACATTGACAAATCCAATAACCCATGTGCAACTCCTGTTTAGTGCACAAGAGGGTAGATCTACTCAGTAGCTTGCCTTGATCTGCGTCGCAGGGATCGGGAGACCATTGCATTGGGATTGGCAAGATGACGTCAGGGATTAGCTGGAATACGTTGCTTCCGATGAGGGCTAACTTAAAAACTGTTCAGATGAAACAGAGCATACGCTTTCCAGCCAGGAGAGAATCTTGTCGACAAGTGTGTGACGAGAATGCCTCTCGCGGAAATACCATGTATCTGACTAGGCGTAGTCGTATTTTGTCACTTGCGAATGAAATGAGACGACTCGCGTGTGTACGATTCTTGTTCACACATGTCTGAATTGAAAACACAGGACGACTCGTACAGCTGGAATGATAAAGTGTGTACGTATGGGGTGTTTCGCAAGAGATACGCGTACACGTTGTCTGCGTGAACCGGGCCCGGGCTACACGTTGGAAACTTGATTTCTGCCTAGACATTTACGCGACAGTGCGCACAGCGATCTGATTATTGGTGTCTACGCTTTCACAGTGCGACGAGTTTTTTTCTCCGCTGCACATCGCGGTTTGCACGTGCAGCGGACCTTGACTCGAACGCTCGTTCACAAAATCAGGAATTGTTGTGGCCTGGAAACTCCTAGTTTTTGAGTGCAGCGGTTTGGGCAGAAAGTAGGCCAAGTCAGAACTGTAACCCAAGCAGTATTGCTTTCCGCGCTGATAAACTCCTGGTTTGGCATTCCTGTGGAACCGCAGCTGAATGAGGACGGCCATCACAGCGTGGATGTCTGCTTGTGGGCAAGCAGGCGAGTGCAGCAGATAACGAGGGAGGCGCAAATTACATTTTCCCCGCTTGGCAGGGATGTGGGCTTGCCATCGACAGCAGCACGAAAGTGGCTTCCAGGTCTAATGATAGGTCAGTCGGTTTTGTTGGATTGGGACGCAGCGAATCAGAGGCGCTGTGTCTGCGGATGATTGATTGATAAGGAAGCTAGGTTTACACTCTAGTTGTTAGCTATTGGTTTCGCATCCCCGACGAACCGGCCGCGTCAGCCGACGACGTTCAAGTGCGAGTTCAGAAGAAAGACACTGCGTGTACGTGTACATGTATGTGATTGTGAGAGTGTTTTTAGTTGTGGATGCCATCTATTATAGACTATCTAGTATCTACTAAAACATCAGAGTAGAGTAGAGTTGTCTATAGACAGAAAGGTACAGGGTATGGTCGCTGTGTATCCGACTATTTCTCCATGCAGTCGGCTTTAGCACACTGTTTCCGACACAACTCAATTGCTAGTTCACACTGCTTTCAATCGGCGGTACGCTCGCCTGGCTAATACCAACGGTGTCGCTCCAGGCAGTTAATTGGTTCACACCACGTTTGTGCAGAAAACACGCCCGCGTTTCGCAGTTTACACAATTACACTGGTCGATCTAACATACATGCACACGCCAACCGCGCCAGAAACCTTTGCAACGTCACCCAGTGGAATCACTAAAACATGATTCTTCCGCCATTGGCACACACCAGGGACTCGTAAAATACCGGTATTTTACGACTCCCTGGCACACACAGTGCACCTTGTCTGGATGCCCCATGGGGCACAGCGTCGAAGAAACATCCAATGGTGAAATACAAGGGTCGCTGGAAGACTCAAGTCTGAGAGGAAGAATCATTCAAGGATGCGTTGAAGAAGAAGACGATCTACGGGTAGGGTGCAGCAGGGTACATGAAGCCCCTGGCCGACGCAGACGCAAACTTTGGCCGCGGGACTTGACGTGGTCAACACTACCACTGGTCACGCACTGACAAGGTGAGAACGTCGTTCAGTTGATGTAGATCTACTGTCCGTGCTGAACTCTTCATCATGTAGAACCTTGACTGGGATTTATCTCCTGAACTATCTTGCAATGATGAGCCCTGCTCCTTATGACGCGTGGGGTATAAACGCCATGATGATGAACGATGAGTGAATGGAGCTACGAGCATTGTCTAGGAGTCTTGTTGTCAGACACTGAACCAAAATGCTTATCACGGAATTCCTGCCGCGTTCACGAGAGTATGGTTGTGTTGTTGTTTTCCTGCGATCATCAGCCAGTCGCTCAGGTGAACACTTCACCGTGTGGGCGAGATGAGAAAAAGACTTGAAGGCGACCAGGGAGAAAACTGGCCACTTCCTTCCTGCCGACAGAGCTAGTACGTGTAGCCTAAGTTAGTTGTAGGAACATCACTTCAACATGGTGATGTGCGAGAATGGGCCACTGGACGTGGGCAGCAAAGAGTTCGACGAAACGGCGTGCCTGGATGAGATGACTTTACAGCTACGCGGTCACCCTAATGAGGTACATGACGCGGGTAGAGGCTTGGCTGACCATGCATTATGCACGGAAGCAGTTAGAGCAGGGCTAGGCTCAGTACAACGCGAACTGAAGTAAGCAAGTACAGTTAAACCTGTCAAGGCGACCACTCGGATAAGGCGACCACCTGTCCAAGAAGACCACTGAAACCAGGACCAAAGGATGCTATTTCCAGTCACAATCATAAGGAGACCACCTGGTAACAGAGACCACCTTTTGAAGGTCCCTTGAGCGGTCGTCTTAGACAGGTTTCACAGTACTAACTCTCTCGCCTTCAGCGTGGTATTCACGGAGATGGCAATGAGCCTTCCCATCTGCAATCTTGAACCAAGAGATACTTGAATGCGTCATCCTGTAGGCTGTAGCTAGATCTACACTCTGGACTGAGCAATTCTCGCGTGCTTTCAAGCATGTTGATTCGCGTGCCAGTTGCCAAGTCAACGGTTGAACAGACGCGTTGGCATTGGCCATATCCCAGATACTGATTGTGTTGCCGCTTTTGGATCAGCAGTGATTAACATCAGAATCAATACTTGAAAAGTTGAATTCCATTCGGTTCAGGAGTGCATGTGGAAAGGTCGGACAAGGCCAACAATGCAAAACCGGACAGTTGCAATTATCGTCTAGCAAAGAGGTTGGGAATGCATGATCATGGCCTACAGGTGACACAGTCCTGAGCTGTTTGCCATAAACTATGCCCAATGAGAATGCCTGGTGCTGCTGATCCGCATACCGCTCCTATCACGTCAGGGCGCATTCTTCAGGAGGTAGATCTACTGCCAGTACGACAGTTGCTTATTCCCTCCGCTTGTGGAGTGGGTCAGGAAGATTGTTTAGATTACTACATCAATCACCTTATGACCCCTACAACCTACCACTACATGGACAGTCCTTCCAGAAAATACATGTACTACATATACATCTACATATTCAGTTTTGAAGAGAGGCGGTTTCAGTAGCACCAGCACACTGGTGTGCGTGCGATCCTTCCAGCGAAGATCTACTGGAGAGACACTCTCCCTGAGTGCAGTACAATCAATGTGTGATGGCTGTCACGAGCACAATTGTCTCAAGTCACTTGCGGGGCATTTGTGTGAGTGGAGTGAACTTGTACTAAGCCGTTTAGTCGTGTGCATGCTCCTCGCTGGGACGCCAGGCGAAAAGAGATACGTTTAAACCGCCCAACGGCAGTACAACCCTGCAGTCAGCGCGTCTCCATTGGGTTGTTGCTGGCTCAGGCCAAGAGAGAGGTGCTGCAAGCCTCTCACTTCAACTGCCCATATCGCCCCGGAACACACAACAAACACAATGACTGCACTATCAACCGTTACAACTTCTTTGAAGTATCCATTGTGGCGTCTTTCGCGACCGATGACAAACCCGTAGCGACAGGAACTCTGCCAGCTCAAAGGAAGTCCACTGGCACCACCGCAATCATACTTATCAGTAGGGGTTATTCTAAGGGTGAGAATGATTCAAAAACATCGTGACTGTATTCATACCGTTGATGGGCAATGTTCA